TGTCACAAGGGTTTTTGCAATGAAATACCATCATATTCATGTTCAGCGGGTCAAACTACCCCTGGGGACAAATTTCTAGCCGAATCTGATATTTCCACCTAACTTGGAAAATGTGTGCTGTTTCATGGGTAATCGAAAGCATAGGGGAGCTCACCTACCGTTGGTGAATGGTCTCGAGATGGAACTACCTCGTGGTAAAGAGGACGATGATGCAAACGGCAAGAATAAGTAAGCCGGGTAATGTCTTTGCGAAAAGGCACATGAAGAGGTATTTCAGTTGGAAAACCAGTCATCATCAGTATGGTAGTCGTAGTATCGCTTTGGCTATCAGTCAGCCACAGCTATTCATAACCCATTTTCTCGAAAATGAGTTAGAACCTCGGATTCCGCTGGGGTGACGTCTCTAGGGGTTATTTGACCCCCTGAACACGAATATGATACCTGTTTTGCGCGAAGAGCGCTGTGAGTTGCGCTACAGGTGCTAACGCTTTGGCGCTGGCGCGCCCGGAAGAAGAAAAGCAATAAAGAAAAACCTCACAACTCCGCTCAGAGAATCGTTCCGCAAATTTTAAAGATAGTCTTGTGTTCATCGTGGCAAGGTGAGTACAATGATGTACATTTCGTTGCAAATGGCCGGGCTGACGTGTTGGCCTTTCCTGGTCAGCTTGTGCAAACATGATTGTGATAGCTTTCGAATCGCGTACTGCGGCGTTAAACAGCAGTTAACAAACAATAACAGCTTGAAACTTGTAAAAAGCCTTCAGCCTTGCGGTTCACTGCCGATATCGGCTAACCGGCTCATCACGTTGAACGTGTGAGTGCTGTAAGGCTATGGCACAAATAGCCATTGAGCTGAGTGGTCAAAAGTGGCCTCGGTAGCGTAATAGGGAACGCATTCGCACGGAAAGCAGAAGATGCGGGTTCGAATCCCGTCCGTGGTCCGACTTTTGCCCATAACTCAGCATTCTTGTGATAGCTTTCGGATCGCGTACTGCGGCGTTAAACAGCAGTTAACAAACAATATCAGCTTTGCACTTCATTTCGACTCTCGCCTTAGGCTGCGTTTATACTTTGCGGCAGCGTAGCGTAGCGCTTCCAGCGTACGCCAGCGGCAGTCGGGGAAAGGATAGATATCGATCTAGCGTTCCCAGCGTCACCAGCGTACGCTAGCGCACGCCAGCGCACGCTGGCGTAGCGAGGGCACGGGAAGCATAGCTATCGATCTAGCTTCACCAGCGTTTCTCCAGCGTTTTCCCAGCGCTTGCAGCGACGGGGCTAGAGAGGGGCTAGAGAGTATTGAAGGGAGGAGAGTATTTTGTACTCTCCTACTTTCAATACTCTCTAGCCCCTCTCTAGCCCCGTCGCTGCAAGCGCTAGCGGGGCTAGAGAGTATTGAAAGTAGGAGAGTACAAAATACTCTCCTCCCTTCAATACTCTCTAGCCCCTCTCTAGCCCCGTCGCTGCAAGCGCTAGCGGGGCTAGAGAGTATTGAAAGTAGGAGAGTACAAAATACTCTCCTCCTTCAATACTCTCTAGCCCCGTCGCTGCAAGCGCTGGGAAAACGCTGGAGAAACGCTGGTGAAGCTAGATCGATAGCTATGCTTCCCGTGCCCTCGCTACGCTACGCTAGCGTACGCTGGTGACGCTGGGAACGCTAGATCGATATCTATCCTTTCCCCGACACTGCCGCTGGCGTACGCTGGAAGCGCTACGCTACGCTGCCGCAAAGTATAAACGCAGCCTTACAGAAGAAGCCTAAACTTGTTATACATATACACAAGGAATGATGGTTCTTATGAGGGCTCGAAGTTGGTTCAAACGATCACGAGACGGGAATTCGGACCATGTAAATAGGTATCGCATGGGAGGGCTCTTTCGTAGCGACTGCTTACACCCACGAACGTTTGTTATCAACTGAGGGTGATGCTTGATTACGATAAGGTACGATAAGGCAGCATTCCATGACCGCTAGCGGCTCACCACTACTGGTGTTGAAATCTTCATGGAAGGTAATTCACTAAGCTCTCAGCTGGACTTACTAGAGCATTAGGTTCGATGCTTGTCTGTGACGTCGAAGTTGAATCGTTTGAAAGCCTTTCTAAGACACCTAGCCACTTGGCGCACTTCTAAGATACCTGGCCTTTTGACCGTATGCTTACCAACTAGGACTGTGCGGTTTCAGCTTTTCAATCCGAAGAAAAAAGAGTGCCTGTCAAAATTGCTCACTTTCGTCGACGTGACACTCCACTTTGAGCCTTTAGGCATTAGCGGGAAACAGAAACTTCAGAAGAAAACTAAGAGGACTAATAATCTCCACGACTCGATCACTAAGAGGACTGTCAGGGCAAGGAATTCTGTGCAAAAAGTATGAAGCTCAATAGCAAAACTCTCATCTTTGGTGCAATACTTCAAGTGAGGAAAAAAGGCCATTATTTGCCCACATTTATGTATGTCCGTTCGTCCGCAAGATCTGCTAGAAGTGAGACAGTAGAAAAACACTGCCGACCCAAATTGCAAATCAGTTGATGTAGAGATATAATTACAAGGCCTGCACTGTTAATAACACTTTTCTCTGGTATGAAGCACATCCAATATTTGGTCTTACCATTCGTCACTTTTCGGTTGAATCTCGTAGCCGGCGAAGAGTGCGACAGGAAGGGCAAGCACGACAATCGCTAAAACAACCATCCCTGGGGGCGTGGGAAGAAAGGTACGAAAGCAGTGCTCGGGACGTCGAAATCCACTACTAACTCGGAGGAGCTTTAGTTGTTTCTGGTGACGACATGTCGTTGAATCGAGTTCGCCCCATTCGTAGCTGTGCGGGTAAGTTCCGCCATAGTGTCCAAGTGCGACTGTCGATAAATCTTGGCATATTTCTCAGTACTGTCAGCAGATTGATTTAGCTCGACACCAAGATTGTTAAGAAGTCTTTATTCGGCTGACGTTTCGGCGTCGTCGCCGTTTTCAGAGCCTACTCATCCAACACTATTTCAACCTACAGGAAAAGTTCAAAAGGGGTTGTAAGCTACTGTGATGATGTCATGGGAACAATAAAAAACTAACCTTTAGGAAGTCGACCAGTGAGGTCCACCTGTTACCCCGTTCTACTAGTAAAGCGGCTTAAATAGGTAGGCCTCCAGGTCACTTTCCTGAGGGACCTCCCGAGGGTTGATCGTGTAGATCAAACTCCTCCAAAGGTCACTCCAGGCCACCCGCACTGCAAAATCCGTGTAACCTCATACTATTGATTACTGTACAAACCCCCGACCCCGCCGCAACGGACCTCGGGGATCGACCCCGTAGATCAAAACCCGCACAGACTCGCGAAGGGCGCCAGCTCCGTGGTAACCGCCACACACTCTTCCCTATATGAATATACTATCGTATGATAATATACTATCATCCGATATCGCGGCGCGGAGAACCTTAGAGGCCTTCTGGATCATGGCCAAGAACCCTAAGATCAATAGGAGGGAAGAGTGTGTGGCGGTTACCACGGAGCTGGCGCCCTTCGCGAGTCTGTGCGGGTTTTGATCTACGGGGTCGATCCCCGAGGTCCGTTGCGGCGGGGTCGGGGGTTTGTACAGTAATCAATAGTATGAGGTTACACGGATTTTGCAGTGCGGGTGGCCTGGAGTGACCTTTGGAGGAGTTTGATCTACACGATCAACCCTCGGGAGGTCCCTCAGGAAAGTGACCTGGAGGCCTACCTATTTAAGCCGCTTTACTAGTAGAACGGGGTAACAGGTGGACCTCACTGGTCGACTTCCTAAAGGTTAGTTTTTTATTGTTCCCATGAAACATTGTGCGATATGTGATTATTTGATTAATTGTGGTTAAGTGTCTAGTGGGTTTTTCCCCGATTAACAGTCGAATCCGACTGATGAATCAACTTGAGAAATGTACAGAAGAGAATAGAAGAGAAGATTTATTACAATGAGATACAAAGTAGAAAGACAAAAATTATTAATTACAAAGAAGACGAGCTGGCCTAGACTGTCAATAGGCCTATTTATAGTAAGTGGGCGTGGCCGTCGAGGGAGCTGTAGCCATCGCCCCTGTTATACCCGGGGATAGGGCAGCTGCACGGCGTACCCGCCGGTGCAGCCCCGTTTTTACGACCGCTCAGAGGCCGCGGCGTGACTTCGCAATAGCCTCGAACCCGAGTCTATACATTACATATACATTACATCTGTGGTTAAGTGTCTAGTGGGTTTTTCCCCGATTAACAGTCGAATCCGACTGATGAATCAACTTGAGAAATGTACAGAAGAGAATAGAAGAGAAATTTATTGCGAATGAGATACAAAGTAGAAAGACAAAAATTAGTAATTACAAAGAAGACGAGCTGGCCTAGACTGTCAATAGGCCTATTTATAGTAAGTGGGCGTGGCCGTCGAGGGAGCTGTAGCCATCGCCCCTGTTATACCCGGGGATAGGGCAGCTGCACGGCGTACCCGCCGGTGCAGCCCCGTTTTTACGACCGCTCAGAGGCCGCGGCGTGACTTCGCAATAGCCTCGAACCCGAGTCTATACATTACATATACATTACATAATTGTATATATGACTTTTATTGTTTTGAATGTGACCCCATCATGATCATCGTTATGCTAGGTATTAGCCATGGGATAGGCATGCCCCGGGGACATTTACCTCATTAGATGGCGTTGCCGCGGGTTACAGATAATGGTCCCGCCCATTGTGGGGGCCACCTATATATAGCGGGGTCAACTCGCTTATAGTAGTTCTAGCTCTATTGGATTCGTCTCATTGTTCCTGTATAGCCACGCCAGTTACTGCTGGCACATTCGCTGTTCTGTATTTGAATAAATCTGATCGTAATCGTCTCGTTTGACTCGAACGGTGTTCAGCCGAGTTCTACTTCGATCGAGGTATCTCGTCTACTGTATCTCCTCTTAAGAAGAAACCGAATATCGACTTGCGGGGCCAAGCCGGTGATTGATTTCGGTTGCAGTTCCAGGCTCAGTTGGAAAACACGATGGACACGTCTACATCAATGGTGATCGGATTTGACCACAGTATGGAAGATCATCGTGAAGAAAATGCAACGCAGGCCCTCAGCGACTGGAATCAACTCAGTGTAAGTTGTTCCACTGAGGAGTTGAATGCGGCAACGTCTTGGAGCGCCTAGATGATGTCCAAAGCGACCAAATTAGGCACATTTCTGCCATAAAGCGGCGAAATATTTTGGAAGTCGTCCGAGGTTCGCTCCAATGCGCAGTCATTAAGGTTAATGAAAACCTAGGTTAGGTGCGCCAGCGAACGAAGCATCAATTTTTGATGAGCTGCAATGACGCAGACAGAACTGCGCGAGTTCTTACCGACAGTTAGCGGTCATAGCAGCACACTTTGCGAAATAGCCGCAAGTTTGGGTTGCGAAATAGGTGAAGTTTCCGAAATGGTTAAGAGCAAATGTGACATCATTTCGGAACTACAAGAAGACCTGGCAGCTGCTAAGCTGCACGAAATCAATCAGAATAATAAGATTACCGATCTAAGAAAATCAATTGAGACAGTTGCAGATATCAGGTGGCAAGGATATCTACGGCACAATTAGCTGGAAATAGCAGTGCTACAGCTCACGGATCAGGTGAGAACTCGGACAAAACTGATAACTGGCGTGCGATACGCAGCCACTACAAGTCCTTAAAAGACGGAAAATTTAACGGTTCCGTTCAGGTGGATTTGAACGTCTTCCCCGACACGAGAGGTGGGCCACCGCAGGAATGGACCGCGCCATCCCGAGCATCGTCGCGTCAATCCTCACGACCTCTTCCCAAAGCACGATGAGTGGTGAGTCCACTTCGGTTGCGTCTTATAATATGGGAGCAGAACCCGTTAGCGATAATAGGGTCCATGATATGTTCACGGTATTCCGGGAAGTTTTTAAAGCCCAGAGCGTGGCTAACGTTACTAAGTATAACGGCAAAAACTCCCTGATGGAATTCTTGCGCGCATTAGAAATAAAGTTCCCTCCAGCGGTGTGGACTAATGCGGACAGGCGAGATATACTTGTGAACCATTTGGAAGGTACAGCCCTATCAATTTTCAAAGGATTGCCGCCTGGGGTCAGGGAAGGGACCTACGAAGGGGTAGTAAGTGCCTTGAAGGCAGCCCGTAGGAATCCTTGTGAACAACTGAGGAACGTGAGAGAGTGGGAACACCTCTCGAAAAAGTCCAATGAATCAGTTGTCGACTTCTGCTGTCGAATGGAGGACCTGTCTAGGAGGATCCATCCTAGCACTGAGTGGGACTTCATAAGGGGATCGAAGCTGTACTCTTGCCTGCAGCATTGGCAGAACTCCTATTACATGCTGGAGGCATTGGATGCGCCAGAGGGACAAGTTTATGAGGAAGTTAAGAAAGTAGCCACGCGTTTGGAAAAGCTGCAGTTTGATTCAGCAAGCCATCCCTCAAGTAGCTACCGCGGTCGTTTCCAGAAAAGGGACATAGAACGAAAAGAGATAGAGTCTCAGAAAGCCTTTGAGAAAGGGGCAGGTCAGCAGACCGGAAGTCAGTTGTTTGCGAGGCCCTTACATAAGTGTTATATTTGTGATAAAGAGGGGCATTTAGCAGCAGATTGTAGGAAAAGGCCCGAACGCCCATTTTAACGTGGACGTGATTATGGTCGAGGCAATAACGGAGAGACCTTAGGCGGTATTTCCCTGTCTAGTGAACTGGAAGGATGGTGTAAAACCGTCCGGAAGAGGTCGAATAGCACCCAACCGCTAGCAATGGGTCAGCCATGCACATACGATGTAAAAATCTTTGGTATCCCAGTCAAGGCCTTAATAGACACTGGCTCAGTGGTCTCTATCATACCTGTGGGATTACTTAAGCAGGCCCGCGGCCAAGGGGTCGATCTGGACAGTGAGGCTCGCATAGTAGGTGACGGCAAGCAGCGCAAACTGTTCGATGCGTCGGGAAATGCAATGAGCTTTCTCTCGGAAATAGTTACAGAAGTAACGGTCATAGGAGCTAGCACGGCTTGCGTTCACATGCACGTGCAACAGAGCAAAGATAATACCTTACTACTAGGTACAAATGCCTTACAGAAGCTGGCTATTTCCATAAAACTTCCCCAAATGGGCACCAGAACGTGGGTTACGCGACGAATAGCCGTTCTAAAAATGGCCTACCTCCTGACACGGCTTTTGCCGAGGGCAGGGTTGTAGTCGCACCAGGCACTGTTGCCACTGTAAAAATAAAAGGTGGGACTCGCTAGAGGGGCTGTCATGGTTCTGGTGTCTCAGACCCAGATCGAGTCGGAAGTGTTGCAATGTAAACCATGGTGGAGGCTGAGAGTTTCGGTCGTAAATGCGGAAACGAGTATTTGTTCTTCAACAGAGGCGATGCTTGTGCGAGATTTTCCTCGGATACCTGGGTTCCTTAGAGTGGCTGATATTCCAGGTGATATATTATGTCTGCATCAGCTTCCAGCGCCGCAAGCAGCCGAATGAATTGGTCTGTTACTATCTATCTTGGACACAAACAGGAAGGGCTGGTCCTCATGCACGACGAGGTGGCGCGAGTAGTGAGACATGAGTTTACGCGAATATTCGCTATTGGTCGAATACGGAAGCTACCTAGACTACCTTGTCCAATGACATATACTCCTCTTCATTACGGACTGTCGGGGCGGGTCAGTGCGGCTGCGTTTTCCGCGGTTCCAAAGTCTTTCTGCACCAGTTGTTGAAGCGATCAAATGACATAACAGCATTATATCCTTCGTATTACTCGTTTTCTACCACTTTTTGTCGCATACGCGCTTCAAAGAAAAGGCTGAGAACGGCTTCAAACAGTGTGCGCACTCCTTCTGGCCGATACGCCCCGACAGTCCGTAATGAATGAGGAGTGTAGATGTAGGTCATCTTCCCATAAGGCAGAAAACCAGACCCGTGCCGTACGGTATACGTAGTAAAGTGCATGAGATGCTCCAAGCCTTAAGGAAGAAATGTGATTGAGGACAGTCAGTCACCATGGGCATCACCAATAGTCCTGGTCGCCAAGAAAGATGGGGACACAAGGCTATGCGTAGACTACAGGGAAGTTAATAAGGGGCACTATTTACCCTTTACTGCCCCAGCCATCCGAAATCAGGCCAGTTCCTGACCGACTTTTTTCTCCGTGGGCAGAATTTGCTGAAAACTTGGCTCCAGGGGTAGTTCGACCCGCTGAACACGAATATCGCATCCGCTTAACCCGACAAACCTCCTGGCGCCCGCGCCACGGGCGCCGGCGCCAAAATACCTCAAATCATTGGCGCCTGTGGCGCGGGCGCCAGGAAGTTTTGGGCTGAGCGAATGTGATATTCGTATTCTGGAGGTCAAACTACCCCAGGAGACAACATTTGAGCAAAATCTGCCCACGGAGAAAAAAGTCGGTCAGGAACTGGCCTGATTTCGGATGACTGGGGCAGTAAAGGGTGAATAGTGCCTAATAAGGTTATCCCTGGCCCACCATAGACATCACCTTACAGAATCTCCAAGGTAAGCAGTGGTTCACATCGCTGGATTTAGCTAGTGGATACTGGCAGGTACCATTAACTGAAAGAGCTAAGGAAATTAGCGCTTTCAGTTTCAGTTCCGAGTGTTGCCTTTTGGTCTAACCACTGCGCCAGCGAAATTCCAGCGTTTAATGGATAAGGTGCTAGGCGATTTAATAGGGCCAGAAGTATCAGTCTACATAGACGACATACTTATTGCGACGGATTCGGTGCAAAGACATACAGAAGTCCTCCACAAGGTTCTGTTAGCATTCCGCAAAGCGCAGCTGAAGGTTAAGCCCCAGAAGTGTCGGTTAATGGAGCCCAGCTTGGAGTTTCTCGGGCATGTGGTGGATGCTAGTGGAGTGAGGGCTGACCCGGAAAAAGTTGCTCGCATAAGAGATTATGCCCGTCCACAGAATGTAGCTCAGTTAAGGGACATTCCTTGGTATGGTGGCTTACTATCGAAAGTTTATTTTGAAATTTTCCCAAATTTCATATTTTGAAATTTTCCCAAATTTCAAAACCTCTTTTTGAGCTTACCATTCTAAAAAGGGAATTCTCATGGTCCAATGAGCACGATACAGCTTTTGAAGCACTCAAAGATGACCCTGGTCAAAGCGCCAGTATTGGCGCAACCCAATATCGAGAAAGCTAGGGATGGATCCCGACCTTTCGTTATTTACACCGACGCTAGCAGAAGAAAGTATCATGTTCGGATCAAGAAGCGCTAGCACTTTCACTTTGAAAAAAATCCATTATTCAATATACGGCGTCCCAGTCATTGTGAGAACTGACCATTTAGCTCTCACGTCACTTTTTAAGCGCACTAATGTATCACCACGTGTTTTACGTTGGGCATTAGAAGTACAGCGTTACGATCTAACTATAGAATATGTGAAAGGAACAGCCAATGCGGTAGCGGACGCGCTATCTCGTGGTTTGCCTCCTTGCCAGAACACGGCTCCGGGTATGCAGAAGATGAAAAAGTCGTTTGCGTAGTACAAGAAGACGAATGGTTAGCGGAACTGCGCCAAGATTCTGATTTTTCTGAGGTGATATCGGCGGTTGAGAATGACCGAGTAGGAGAGGTTAGACTTCCCCGGCACAGTAAATTGCTCAGTAGTGCAGATTTTGCGATTCAAAATGGAAAATTGCATTTGATTACTGAAGATGGGACGATGGTGATGATAGTTCCCCGATCACACAGGAAAAACGTGTTCAATGAAGCACACTCGGGTGTATTGGGCGGCCACTTTAACGCCTACAAAATGTACGCGCAGATGAAGAAAACCCTGTTCTGGCCTGGGATGTATCAAGACCTGGTTAGCTGGTGCCGCAGCTGTCAGCAGTGTTTTGTTGCAAATCATAAATCGAAAAATGTCCCACCATTACGCCCGCCGATTCAGGTGAACAGACCACTTCAAATAGTGGGAGTAGATCTTTTAGAAATGGGTCTGACGACACGCGGGAACCGCTACATAGTCACCATTATAGACCACTTTACAAAGTGTCTAGGTGCATACCTATAGCAGACAAAAGAGCGGAAACAGTTGCAGAAGTGGTGTTCAGTGACTGGATATATGGTAGCGGCCGCTGGGCCGGAAATCCTCCTCCCAGACAGAGGAGTGAATTCGAGAATGTAAATAATTATGCTCTTGCCAATATAATGGAGAATTTGAACAAAATTACCAAGGTTACTGTCCTAGAGAGAATGGACTTACTGAGAGAGTGTAAATGGCACCATCGTTCGAATGTTAAAAAAGAAAACAGTCATTCCTACCGAATGGGATCGGGTGTGCTACGTGGTTATAACAACGTCTCGGTGCATGCAGCAACAGGCGAAAGCCCCCACTTTTTGCTGTATGGAACGGACCCCAAATACCCATCAGCAGTGATCCCTCCGACCAGTTATCACCCTATATGGTAGACTACGATGACTACAAGACAGAGTTGCTGTCGGGGTTGAAGCTTGCGCGACAACTTATCTGTGAAAACGCGGAAAAATATCGTGAGCGTATGAAAGTCCAGTATGACAGGCACTGGAAAGCTGCTAAAAGTACCATTTTCAAGCCAGGGGATCGCGTGTACATGAAACTTCCGACGGAAAAAGGCAAGTCGCGACACCCTAAGCTTACCAACGACTGGTCGGGACCCTTCCGTGTCATTGAAGCAAGCGCGAATTCAGCGTTAGTCACACTAATTGGGGACAATAAAGAACCTTGTAGAGTGCAGTTCGACCATCTGCTAAAGGTTCTAGAGAAATTGATGATACTCGATTAACTGGCCTAACGCAGCGCGGTAGACGCGGAAAGAGAAGGACAGTAGCTGCAATATATGCTATTTCAGATACCACCAATGGAGAGTTATTTGATAATTTTACTTTCAGCACCGTGACATCATCATCAACGAATGTCCGTCACATCGACTGGAACTGCCCGGGAGAGATGTCCGTCAATGGTCAGCGAGTTGCGTGCTCAGTCAATGTTCCGATCAGCAATCTACTGCCAGCGGCTCCACTATCATCATTTGCATTTCGATCACCTTATGAGTTAGCCAGAGTGCTTGCGGTTATTAGCCAAACACATGTTCCTGAGCATTTCCGTCTAGCACGAATGCTTGATTTTTCATATGATATTGTCACCCCGACCTCACTTGGAATTGCTATTTCATTTTACCGATCGCACTGTATTCATATGACTCTTGCCACCGTGGAGGACGCAGGCAAAACCACACCAGGATATCCCCGAGGTCGAACGTCGACCCATACAATCTACCCAGTATGTCCCGTGATGCCGTGAAATTTGCGGATATGCATCCTTGGACTCCCAAGAGCTGGAAATTGGTTCAGCCACGGCGTACGCTCGTTGTACTACCGGAAGGATTTCAAGATGTGCTGGACAGTTTCGAGTCGGCGTTGATGTCAGCAAAGTTCGCCAGAGAGCCCGAAGACGTGAGACCAGATTGGTTCACAGAGGAATGGTCCGCGGTCATCTTGATTTTGCCGTCACGCTCTTCGAGGTGACGCGCTGGAGAAGTGCTTGGGCCTGATGGTACAGGCAGTCGCTAAAGGGGCGGAGCTCGTGGCCGTCCTTGGGCCCAAGGACGACCAGAACTGGGGAAAACAGTGGACATCCTCAGGGACTTGATGGAGGAAACTGTGGCGCAAAGGCCGTCGCTGAGGCAACGGATTCGTTGTCTACTACCGCTAAAATCCGAAGAATTTGTGCAGGACGCACCCTACAGGATTTTATCGGACAAGATGAATCCTCGCCAAGGACCTTACTTTACGCAGAGCGCGGCCAAGAGGTTTTGGAATGCCACGCAGAAGCAGTATAGCTCCTTTGTCAAGCTACAGGACTTCAAACGGTTGCCGGAGCCACGACGGAAGTCATTCTCCCGACCCCCTGTCTTCCGAGAAAGACAGTCATTTGATAGGCGGTCCCTACGTGTAAAGCAATCGGCGCGAGCAAGGCCTTATTTAGCGCAGTGGAGGCGCTTCATTTTCTGCGAGACCCCCATGTGAGATATGTGATTATTTGATTAATTGTGTATATGACTTTTATTGTTTTGAATGTGACCCCATCATGATCATCGTTATGCTAGGTCATTAGCCATCGGATAGGCATGTGCCCGGGGACATTTACCTCATTAGATGGCGTCGCCGCGGGTTACAGATAATGGTCCCGCCCATTGTGGGGGCCACCTATATATAGCGGGGTCAACTCGCTTATAGTAGTTCTAGCTCTATTGGATTCGTCTCATTGTTCCTGTATAGCCACGCCAGTTACTGCTGGCACATTCGCTGTTCCTGTATTTGGAATAAATCTGATCATAATCGTCTCGTTTGACTCGAACGGTGTTCAGCCGAGTTCTACTTCGATCGAGGTATCTCGTCTACTGTATCTCCTCTTAAGAAGGAACCGAATATCGACTTCATCACAGTAGCTTACAACCCCCTTTTGAACTTTTCCTGTAGGTTGAAATAGTGTTGGATGAGTAGTTTCGAAAATGTCTTCTGACTTTCCAGGCTCTGAAGACGGCGACGACGCCGAAACGTCAGCCGAATAAAGACTTCTTAACAATCTTGGTGTCGAGCTAAATCAATCTCCTGACAGTTCCGCCATTTTTTTTCAGAACCAAAAAACTTGCCAACAATCTGAAGAGGTGTGATCGATAATGATAGCAGTAATACTCATGGTAACACTCCTGGTACCACAGACTTGTCTACTACTTCTTCTTTTGCAGTGTGGACAAGAATTGCATGGTGTCCTGTCTACCGACCCTCGAACCCTCCTGTCGAAGTATTTTCTTGCACCATATTGGCTCGAACATGAGAGCTGCCCGGGTAAGATAAGGGAGTTTGTCCTTTATCTGAACAGTATAATACAACAGCTGTCGCGCACAGTCCTCAGCACTGGAAGACGGTTAGTTGAAATGAATATTAGAAATGAGGGGTATACGGATGCGGTTCACTTTGCGCTGGATTAAAATCCACATTCCATATCTGCTGAACAATTCTTCGAACAAAGTTGTGAAGCTTCGTGTGACTGACTCGTGGTCAAACACACCAGTGCTCAATAAGTATGTACACTAATGACGCGTGAGCGAATTTGAGTTGTGATTCGATGGGCTACCGGTCCCGTGTCTGTCTGACTCCAGGGCACAAATTTTTTATGGCTTGCTGTTTTGCTTTTTTTGAATATCCGAGAATAATGGTTCTGAAGGAGTTGAGGCATTCTGGAAGGCACTGAAGGATAATCGTGGTATCTGCATCAATATTCGTTGGGTTATTTTCTGTGGCCAAAGTGACGCCAAATCGCGCAGCCGCTGGAATTTAACAACATCTTTGTGATCAGCCAGTTACAGTAGAGTTATTGTCCATCGTCAGTTACAACAAGGATTGAGATTCAGCAAAAATGCATCAATTACCCACTGACATCCTTATCGATTAGGGCCACAAGCTTCAGAAGTGTATTGCCTATGGTTACTCGTTGGTTATGTCGAATCTCATACTAAGCTCAGATCTCACCTTTATAGCTAATGTGAGAACAGAAATATCACACCCGTTCTGCGTATAAACACTTGCGTCAAGCGGTACGGGCTTCCGCGCACACTCGCTTCTTGTGAGCCTCAGTCGTTAACGCAGAGGACGATTCGGGCATATGAATATTTTCATTCAAAACAAGATTGCAACAGCCTTCCATGCATCAGAGCACCTTTAGTTGTGAATGTGAGCGAAGTTGAGGGTTCTCTTGTGCTTCACGTACGTATACGCATTGGTGTGACAGCTCAAGGAAAACCTTCATTACATTGCTCAGAGGCTCGTTCAGCAGACATCGAAGGCATATTTGTAAATATTTTCTAAAGTCAAATCAAGGTATGCGTCTCATGACCAATAGCACCTCGACCCGCCACCCTTCCACGCAGTTTAGAATATTAGTCCTAAAAACTAACTGCCCAGGATTGCGCTGAATTCTGGTTCAAATTAGGAAAAGAAATAGACATAGTCAGAAGAACTACTACAAGGTCAAACTCTGTTTTGTGTTCATCTCATTTCACAGCTGTGCTAGTGCGTGTTGTTTGTTCTTCACTTGAGCAAGGTGAATGACGAATTGCAAGAGGTATCGTTTTCTGCACTTCTTCAGGTGGAAGACTGAACCACTAACTTTGATGAGTTTCAGTCGTTTCTGGCTTAGGCGTGGTCGTTGAACGCATCGCAGTTGTGGTACTGGGCTTCGTTTGTTCTTCACCTAAGCAGGGTAAATTACGAATGCACAGATATCCTTTTTCTGCGCCTTTCAGGTGGAAGACTGAACCACTAACTTTGATGAGTTTCAGTCGTTCTCTGGCTTAGGCGTGGTCGTTGAACGGATTCCATCTCGCATCGCAGTTGTGGTACTGGGCTTCGTTTGTTCTTCACCTAAGCAGGGTAAATGACGAATGCACAGATATCGTTTTCTGCGCTTCTTAGGTGGAAGACTGAACCACTAACTTTGATGAGTTTCAGTCGTTTCTGGCTTAGGCGTGGTCGTTGAACGGATTCCATCTCGCATCGCAGTTGTGGTACTGGGCTTCGTTTGTTCTTCACCTAAGCAGGGTATTAGAGAATGCAACAGATTCGTCTTCTGGCATTTATCAAAAGGTAGAGTGAACCACTAACTTTGTTGAGCTTCAGTCGTATTTGGTGAAGTCGTGATCGTTGAGTTGAATACATCCCACTTCGCAGCTGTGCTGTTGTTTGCCGTTTCTACTTCACCTGAGCAGGGTAAATGACGATCAAATGGCGGTCACTTCTTTGCGCCAAATAGAAATGTTGACTAAGCAGTTAGCTTCCAGGAGTTTCTGTTGTTTCTGGGAGGAACTTAATTATCAAACAGCAATCAGACGATTTCGCAGCCAGGCTGCGTTCTGTTGCTTCTTCTTCGACAAAAGCAACTACTACATGTCGTCCACTATTTACTATTAGCGTTTGAAACATCAGATATAGCAGCCAACGTGGGAGGGTTCCTGCGGACCGTCTCGGTCCTTCTGATGACTGCTCGCTCGCTATCTCGCATCCAGTGAACTCTGTGTGTTCTGAACATTATAAACCCTCGACGCAACAGCTGGCTGCTGGTGTTCGTATTTACTGGCACATTGAACCAATCTGGAAGATAGCGTCCTTTCCAAAAACCACTTCCTCCCAAAGTTTAAAATTCATTCCCAAAATCGAATCAACCACAATTCGTGGTTCCATTTGTCCTTCGTCATCGAGGAAAACGGTTGCCACGCACAATCAGGGCTTACATTTGCTCGTCATCGTCACTGTTGGAACACTAGAATCAAGTTCCAAGTAGCTTTTTGACGTAAATGAAAAATATCTTTGTCTGGTATTGAACTGCTACAGTTCATCACGGATATTTAAAAGCTCATGCCGTTTCGATGACGGCTCTCTCGTCGGAACCAGGAGTCGCTTTTCGTTCCTACCAGTTCTTTTCTTCATATTTTCTCTGTCTGACACTACAAATGCAATCGAGCTGCATGGGAAAGATCGATACTGGACCTTCACTGCTGTTCGCACAAAGCAGATATCGTAAGAATGCATTGTGTGCGTATGTGTGTAGGTATGTGTGTAGGTATGTGTATATATCCTAACACATATCCCGAAACACATGTGTGTTGTGTCCACAGATACAGGCGAAATACAGGTGTTTATTATCCCACTAATAGCTGGGGAGTCGAAAGAAGCGTTGTCCCCGGCGCCATTCGGCGAAGCATGGAGGAATTACCGTGTTTCACGGTCTCTCCCGTTCCTGCGCATGTTAGGACGGGGAAACCGCTACGCTTCGACAGCTGGGGGCTGTTAGTCACGCACACCCAAACTATGTGTGATCGTACCATGTGTCTTTGAAGTGATCGTGCGTCAAGTCAATTAGCAAGGAAACGCTTCAACTTGCGGATGTCGCCAGGCACTTTCGGCATTAACATTGCACTGATTCTTCTGAAGGCAATCGATTAATTACAAGCTAAACCCTGACTGCCTGATGGATCATATAGAAAGGCAACACTGAATTAATGTAGGCTTCTTCAAGTGCAGGCGTAGTGCGTACGTTTTTTCTAGAACACCCATTGAAATTTGGCGTGGCTTTGATGTTTGGCTTTTTGCTTTGAAAAAGTGGTCGAAAAAGCAAGCGGAAAATCACGGGTATATAGCACGCGAGATAGTTCTATGACCTGATATGCTTTTCTGGCGACTGGAGAATTAAGCGGGAGAGTTACCTACATTAGCTGTAGAGACTTGCCCTACCTTGCGCGCTGTTGCTGAAATCTCTGCATGAGTTGAAGAGAAAGTCACTCCTCTTTCATTGTCAAATGTAGTATAAGTAAATTATAGCTCTATTTTATTCCCTGGAGTGCTATGGAGGAAGTGATCGTTGTCTATCTATTTCCTTGCCTGGTGAGTCTTTCTCTTGCAAGCCATTGTTTATTTCATCGACGAAGTTGAAAGTGTGACCACCATCAATACTACAGCAGAAGAAGCGACCGAAGAGCTAAGCGCAACTGCATCGAAATTCTACGACATTCATAAAAAAGTATGTATTATAGTTCCGCATATGCACTACAAAAAGTCTTTTGACGAAAATAATGCTCTGTCAAACTGTCTAGTAGGCCAGTGTGACCATAAGGGATGTGTAGCATTGAGCCTCCTTCAGACACTGAACGCGGATCTGCTCTCTGAATTTGCACAACAATACCTTGAACGGAATTGTGAAGCTTTTGATTCCACCACGCCCACAAGCAGCAGGTTCTGATTGGATCTTTGGTGGGCCAAAATGCTTGATTTTTGCAGAAAACGCGGTTTTCATTTATGCAACTACGCCACATCACACCTGCAGGAGAGTTAGCGAACAATTCTTGTCAAATTTGAGCACCTTGTGGCCTGAGAGAAGGTTGGGAACGACGACTTCCGTTCTCTAAGCTATCACTGTTTTTCACATTCTGACTCTTCGCGTTCAGAAGATCAGTTTACCTCTCTGAACAAATGTCAGCAAATACTAAATGTTGGCTTAGACTTCTAAAAAGGGTTACCGCGACTAGGAAAACACACCGTTTCTCTCATTCAAACATGTGCAGTGACAGGAAAGCAAAGGAACCAGGGCTGTGGGCTTCTACACCATTTGGAAGCCAGTACACTCAGCTTCGTACTCGTGAAATTCGGCCAATATAGCCACAGAAAAAAACAGGAGTGGTCGAAGTCAGTCCGGATTACCGATTTGGGCGTATCATAAGGAGAGTGTGCTGCTCATATTAATCATGTGGTGGACCAATTCTGCAGAATGGCGTTCTTGAAAAGGATGTGGAAGGATGGGTGGGAAAGTGCGAAGATGGGAGAAAGGAAGAAAAAGTTGTGGACAAGAACGGATCACTGATGTTTGTCCTGCAGAAGAAAAGCAGGAGGATGAAGTCAAGCGATCAAGGGACTGGTCCGTCGTCGAGCTTGCCTTTGACTGACATTCGTGCTGCAACCGTTGCCCAAGTTTCGATGAGAAAACTGAGGATTGGTAAGAGGATGTATGTCTGGGTGCCTTACTTTTCTACAGAAACAAGTAGAAGCCGATTCGATGGCTGCAGTAGGTAGGCTCTCTGCTTAAGACGTCGTTGACGACTGTGAAAACCCTGGCCCAATAAGAAACATGGGGAATATTGGTCATCTTGTTCTCCGAAACTCACAAGCGTCCGCTTCAAAAACATTACCCACGACTTCGATTGTGAATAGAGCTCGATCACGAATTTGTAGTTGCCAAGTAACCCTCCAGTGAAGGAAAAAGCAAAAGGGCAGTCAGCAGACCGAGCACACTCTAAGTAAGGACCCTGGTAGCCTAACTGTACAAGTTCTCTGGACGTGCTTGCTACGCTATGATATGCCAACATAATGATATTCTGCCGCCTCTGTCTCAATAATTGCTTCTTCGCCTTGACTCCACCTCTTGGACAACCCTTGTCAGCTCCTGAATGTTGCTTGCGAAAGTCGAGAGTGAGTTCTGTCCCAGGTTATGCGCGGTTTTGCGTGAAAATGTCTTTTTCTGACGTATATACCATTTTCACTTTAAATCGGACACTTTTCAAACCAAATCGGACACTTTTCAAACCAAATCGGACACTTTTCAAACCAAATCGGACACTTTTCAAACCAAATCGGACACTTTTCAAATCAAATCGGACACACCCCTTACAATTAGGTGGTTGATAACTAGACCACATTAGGTACTGTTGCAAGCCTCGCCCCATTATCCCCGCCCACTTCTCAGCCCGGACAGGGTTTTCCGAGATGCTTCATGAAATCTGCTCCCTCGACTTTTTTTCGTTTTTGCCCTTTGCACACACACTTCAACTGAAAAAGATTGATACCTTACAGACTCTGACTCCGCCCACTTAACAATGAAGTTACGTAAGTTCTGGATTTTTATAACTTTTCCGACGAGTACTGGTTCACATCATCTCACAAAACAATTAACCATGCCACAGCCACAACAGGCCCCGCCCCCTAACCCCGCCCACTTGTGTTTATCGCGGAATTTTGCTTTTCTCTTCCGGATTTTCGCTTTTTTAGGCTTTAGCGATTGGCTCGCCCCCACCAAAGCTCCGCCCACTTTGGGGAAGCCCCGCCCACTTTTCAAAAATGATGCAAATCGGCGGGCTAGTGTCCGTACTGGCGCATTACGGCCTCTCCCGGCACATAGAATAAAAAAAGGGAAAAACCGGAAAAAAAGGGAAACTTTGTTCTGAGCGACGGGAGAGGCCGTAATCCGCCAGTACGGACACTAGCCCGCCGATTTGCATCATTTTCGAAAAGTGGGCGGGGCTTCCCCAAAGTGGGCGGAGCTTCCATTGGTGGGCGGAGCCAATCGCTAAAGCCTAAAAAAGCGAAAATCCGGAAGAAAAAGCAAAATTCCGCGATAAACACAAGTGGCGGGGTTCAGGGGCGGGGCCTGGTGTGCTGTGCATGGTTATTCGTTTTGTGAAGATTGGATGTGAAAAGAACTACGTCGAAAAAAGTTATAAAAATTCAGAACTTACGTAACTTCATTGTTAAGTGGGCGGAGTCAGATCTGTATAGGTATCAATCTTTTTCAGTTGAAGTGTGTGTGCAAAGGGCAAAAACGAAAAAAAAGTCGAGGGAGCAGATTTCATGAAGCATCTCGGAAAACCCTGTCCGCGCTGAGAAGTGGGCGGGGATAATGGGGCGGAGGCTTGCAACAGTACCTAGTGTGGTCTAGTTATCAACCACCTAATTGTAAGGGGTGTGTCCGATTTGATTTGAAAAGTGTCCGATTTGGTTTGAAAAGTGTCCGATTTGGTTTGAAAAGTGTCCGATTTGAAAAGTGTCCGATTTGGTTTGAAAAGTGTCCGATTTGGTTTGAAAAGTGTCCGATTTGGTTTGAAAAGTGTCCGATTTAAAGTGAAAATGGTATATATGGATGCGTGTGCAGGAGATCCTGAGCTACATAAAATCCTACTGTTTACTGAATACCCAAATAAAACATGAGGATCTAACGAATATTGTGAACTGATAAAATGAATTGCCTATAAATGGGAGTACCTGCAGCAGCGCCACCATTCTGGCAAGAGCCGTTGATGCCGGCTTGTTCGTCTCCTTCCTTCTCTCATTCCTTCGTGCCTGTCACCTTCAGTTCCGACCCTCTGCCACCCTCATGAAAACACACAGTGCGCCAC